AGTATCGTTTGCGTAGTTCCACCTTAGAGCCGTTTTCATCATCTTCGGAGGTCAGCAGAGGAAAGGTGCAGAATGTTTTTCGTTTGCTTTTGGTTGGCATCATTTCTAGGTTCATATTATGCGAACTGTAAAGAGGGTGCAGCCGTTCTTCACAACGAAAATGTATCCTTCAGCATTGGGGGGACATCTGATGACCTTGATATCTACAACAGAGGAGTGCCTCTTCGAGCATTTCGTACGGGTTGTGCGCACGGATATTCATGTAAATATCCCTGAAGTTGATAAGCATGTCCAGTGGGATCGCGGGCAACAGCTTGTGGTAACGAAACAGTTACCCTGTGATAGAATCGCGGTTCCAGAAGTGCCAGGAATGCTTTGGGATCCTCCGGCATGAACTCGGGGGCTCTGATGTGGGCCCAGAGTGCTTCGCTGTCTATGGAGTGCTTATGATCAGGGCTAGTCATATTTAATCGTAAATAAGGTTGAGGATCCCACCCCCTGCTGCACCTACAAGGTGTTTTAAGGTTAGGTGTCTAGCGTGTAGTTAGTCCCACATCAAGGCAACCAACGCCTAATTAATCTAGATAATCCAAATCACTCCTTGATTGATTGAAGCCCCGAACCCGAAGAACTTGTCTCCAGAAGCGAGTTGTATTGCAGGATAGAGTGAAACATGTTCCTTTACCGAAGTATTTTTCTGGCTGTATTCCTTCCTTTCTATTCTTGTCCTCATGCCTCCACCATCAGGCAGCATTTGTTCCACAGACCTCCTCTCCGTATTTCCCCGCACTGTTGCCGTACGTCCAATCCTTCCGAGACCAGCTTTACTGTTACTTTCAGTTCCAGTGACATGCATTTTCAATGCATCCTCCATCTTCCATAAATTCGTCGGTGACCTTGTCCGGTTTGTGTTCCTTTTGCACTGTGTTTTCGTTCTGATTCCCACCATTTTTATTGTCTACCTATGTACCTACACTGTTATTGTACATATACTCGCTCTGAACATTTGATCATGCCTTGTGCATGTCTCACTGGCTTCGTGAAATATACACCTATTACTAATATTATTATTACATATAGTATGCAATTGTCGAACGGGTTACAAACTACGAATGAATAGCACCTATAATAAAAACTACGTTAGAGAGAGAAGCGTGAGCAAGCGTGCGGAAAGTAAAATCAAACATATGCTGACCAAAGAGATAGCCTTGGCATGATAAAACAATGAGATGTACAGGAGAAACGGTACATGCAGAATAAGATGTGGTTGTTCACTACAAGGGTAGGAGAGCCCGGAAAACCTAGATGGGCGACTAACTCAACGAAGTCTCAAGGTCAGGTGTACACACCAAAGGGCACACACGGACAGAAGGGTTCACCTTTGAGTAAGTCAATGCCATAACCTAAAGGGACTCCATTGCAAGAGTTGATGGTTAGGGAAACGAAAGCAGTTGGAGCGAAGAAAACCACCACCGCTTCCAGCCCCGCAGCTGCTGCGAAACTAAAAGCTGTAGCACAGAAATCCGTTTTCTCAAAGCAAGATAATCTCAGGAACGGAGGGCAGGGAATTCCTTCACGCGAAAGGGTGTAGGAGGATCGCAGTTGGGCGAAAGTAGTAGTGAATGCACCGAAACGCCGGCCAGGAGTTGGCACAATTACCATTACCGAACGCGAAGCCCTAGAGTTCCTCAAAAATGTCACGCCGCAGGCATCAAAGTCAGCAGACTGGGTAGGTCTAAAGGCGGCATATCTTGGATAGCGGAGACTGCCACCAGCTGTTACACAACAGCAAAAAACGAAGCNGTACCCGACGTCCCCGGAGTGTACCGCGCAAGATAGATGGAACGTAGTTAAAGGGGGGGGTTAACCAACCTCACAGAAAGGTTCGCACCACTGAGGGAAAGACGAACCAGAAATCGATCAAAATGGTGGACATCCGGGATAAAGAGGGCGCGGAAAATTCGCAGAAAACACTGGGATCGCTTTAAGCTTTACGGAACTCAACAAACCTGGAGTGACTACAAGCGGGCGCGAAACAGATGTCAAGACCTCCAAAGGCGTGCCAAATGTGACTTCGAATTTAAATTAAAATGAGGCGTCAAAGAGACCCCAAAATCTTCTATGCATACTTGCAAGCCAACGCACACACACGTGAGAGTGTAGGAGCACCAGCTGTGTTCGATGGAGGCATAGCTACGTGTAACCGCGATAAAGCGGAAACCCTACTTAAGTTCTTCAAAAGCGTGTGTAGGATTCCAGTCGACTATAATAACCTGTGTTAAGCAGGGTCAGCTGATACGTCAGCGTTTGTGAAACAGAAGTACATCGAGAATTCCAGACGCTGAACAAACACAAGTCAGCAGGTCCGGATGGAATCCATTCAGCCGCTGGCCGGGGTGCTAGCCTGGCCGCTGACTGTAGTCCTTAAGGAATCAGTGAAAAGTGTTGCGCTACCCCAGGACTGGCGTACAGCTACCGTAGTAGCACTGCAAAAGGCTGGAGCGAAACATAAAGTAGAAAACTACAGGCCCGTGAGCCTAGCTTCAGTGTTGTGTAAGTGCCTGGAGCGACTAATCAGAAGGCAGATTTGCCTACATCTGAATAGCGATCGACTCCTGTCAACGGCACAGCATGGCTTTGTGTAACGGAAATCATGTCTTACGAACCTTCTTGTATTCCTAGAAGAAGTCACTCAACGTATGGATGAGGAGAAAAATGTAGAAGTCTGTTACTTAGACTTCAGTAAAGCATTTGACTCTGTCAGCCATAGATTGTTGGACTTCAAAGTTCGGCGCCTAGGCATAACAAGTAGAGCCAGAGACTGGATTGTAGCCTTTTTGAACCCCCAAGGAGTCAACTTCCTGACAACGGGGCTAAATTGAGAGGATCACGAACACCAAATCAACTGTACGCAGTGTTGGAAGCTACTCCCACCCGCCGAAAACTGAACGAACTGGACGCTTCATTGGCAAGAGCCATATTCGTCCCGTGAAAACTGAACTAAATGTAGTGTAAATTGTGATTGATATGACATTGCACGATGCGAATTCACTGGTCGACACAAACGATAGTGCCTTGCGACCACTTCGATTATTTGCTGCTGTTTAGGGCTAACGTCGAAATCCCAAATTATTATGCCGAGTAGTCGTTTCAAATGCTCGTTCCGGAATGACGCAGATACCTAGATAATCGCGTAGTCAGTGCCTATCTCCGGACATTTAGTCCCACATCATTGCAGGCAGCCATCTACGTGGGAAAAACCACGAGATAACTAAGTAAGCGAGTTACATAACACATTCCAAACTGGTTTAAACATAAAATGGCGCAAGCGGGCAACACTCCACGGCTGACTCAAAATGCTTTGTTATCATCGATAGAATGACATCTAGTGGCAGCAAAGCATTGGTTAGACCGATAAACAGTGCTCAAAATGATTTATACCATATGGAATGTGAAGCTGTTAAGATATGTTGGAGCTACTACACTTCATCGTTGGAAAACTTCTTGTCCCCAGAGAGGGTTTTTGTATAACACTGAATTTAACTCAAGAATTATAATCCTTTTTCATACGGAAAACACCTTCGTATGAATGCTATTTTCTGTGGCACACACTNAAGGCGTGCCAAATGTGACTTTGAGTTTAACTAAGCGCGAGGAGTCAAAACGAACCCGAAAAGCTTTCATGCGTATATGCAAACCAACGCACACACACGGGAGGGTGCAGGAGCACTAGCTTTGTCCGATGGAGGCATAGCTACGTGTAACTGCGATAAAGCGGAGACCCTAATTAAGTTCTTCAAGAGCGTTTAGAGGATCCCAGCCGACTATGTTAACCAAGGTTTAGCAGGATCAGCTGATACGTCAGAGTTTGCCTATCTTTGAATCGAAACAAGTGTTGGTTCTTAGCANAATGGAGCTCCCATCCAGCAGGTCCCGCAGATGAAGGATCTAGGGGTTCTTATGACCCAGGATTTTAAACCATCAACCCAGTGCTCCAAGGCTGCAAATCAGGCTAGGGGACAGCTGTTCAGGTAGTGCTACAGTAGCATGCAGACGTCCTGAGGTTTCTGTCCCCCTGTATAAGTCGATTGTTTGCCCACACTTGGAACATTGTGTGCAGGCTTGGGCACTGTATTACAGGAGGTATGTATCATGTTAGGAAAGAGTGCAGCGCCTAGCTACCCGAATGGTGGCTGGGCAAAAAGAGAAGAGCTATGAGCAGCGGTTGAGAGGATGTTGCTCTTTTCGCTGGAGCGTAGAAGAGTGAGGGGAAATCTGATAGACTTTAAAATCGTAAGAGGTGTATCAGGACTCAACCTAGACGACTTGTTTACGATTTCTCGTGCTCAGAACACGAGAGGTCACGGCTACATACCTCAAAAAATCACGACAGGTTGGAAGTACGGGCCGACTTCTTCGCACACAGGATCATACCTGTGGAACAGGTTATCCGTAGAAGTGGTCAGCTACGCCAATGTTAGCGCCTTCAAGGTGGCCCTGGACGCATGCTGGTCAGCAACGTTCCCCGAAGTTCGTATTTAGAGTGGGAACATAAAGAATAACTTCTCCTTTAGCCGGAAGCTTTTGAGATGTTGCAAACTCGGGCTTGGCTTTTGGAATTATTCTAAAACTGATTGTCCTGTCACGTGATCCGTGTATACGAACGCTTGTGTACTTGAGGTCTCCAACCAATGAGCCGAGGAGTTATCCTTGTTTGCTTTCCTCCCTTTCAGCATACCCCCAAGAAGTCAACGTTCTGGCAACGGGGTTAAATTGAGAGGATCACAAACACCTGAACAATTGTACGCAGTCTTGGCAGCTACTCCCATCCACCGACAACTCAACGAACTGGACGCTCGATTGGCAAGAACCATATTCGTCCTGTGAAAACCGAACTGGATTAAACTGAACCTGACCGAAGGCCAGTGTGCGTGTAATATCTAAAGACAATGATACGCAACACTATCATTTCGTATTGTGACCATTTCATATCCCTATAGTGTTGCTACGTTTTTCATTCATATAATTTCGTTCGAACCATTCGAGTCTTCTCCGTGATTGGAACATGCAACATGGGAAAAAAATCCGGCGGACGTTAAAGATCTGATGCTACCTGGAGTTTACGGCCTGCCGTTAAGTCGTCTTATGAGTCTCAAATTGCGCGCGACCTCCTAGTATCCCGTTGACGAATCTGCCCAGACTGTGCTTCCCGTGCAAAGTCTGAAGCATCAACCTCTATACTAAGCATGGTTGACGGTATACAGGATGCAAAAGCAGCGTGGTCTGCGCTAAATGTCTTTACCTCTTGGAATGCTACTCGTGCGGCATTCGTAAGCATGAGCTTACGTGGATTACCACATAGTAGGTCCCGAAGAGGTTGAAATGGTTCAGCGGCGTGTGGGATGAATCGTCTATAAAAATTCAATAAACCCAAGAACGTCTTCAGGTCTTTGACTGAGGATGG